TATACTATGCAATGTATCGGAATCTTCTGCCGAAGACATTAAAAACCGTTAATGATCATTGTTGATGTTGATGACCTTTCACACCTGCCACAACAGAAATGTGAACATAAATATTAGGATTCCTTTCTGAATGCCAATAAATATTTGCGACCTTGTCACCGTGTCAATTTCGGTGTCTTAATAAGCTAAAGTTTGGCATGCAAAGCGGGCCCAGGGGCCGTATTTTTAGAGTGTAGCTGGGTTGGGTGGGGTTGTTTGGGTGTGCTTGCTGTGCTGTGGTCCTGCTAGAGAGGAGGGCTTTTCAAATCCGGAAGTAATAACGGCGGAGTAGCTGATGCGGTGAGGCCCGGCCCACCCGCTGCCTGGCGGGGGCGTGCTGGACGGGACGTCGTCTAATTGTGAGGATAAGGCGACCGTCCCTTTGACCCCCCCTCCTCTCCCCGTCCCTCCAACCGCCCCGGGACTGGGCCGTGCGCTCGCCCTCCTGTGCCGCCGGCCGCGCCCGGACCGGCCGGCAGGCGGCGCGAGGTTGGTTGGGGCTGCCTGGATCAACACTGTTTCCCTCCATGGACCCTCTCGCTCCAGGCCTCGCTAGAGCGGCCTCCTGAACTCCAGGGACTCGCGCTCCAGGCCCCTGTCAGCAGATCGCGTCATGACAGCACCCTCACAGCGAGCGAGCGGCAAGAAGTGCTGATGATGAGGCATAACTTCTGCATAGAAATGTCGCATATTGGAGATTGGGATAAATCTCCCCGCACTTCCCTAGGGGCTTCCTGACCGTAGTGGTGGGTTCAGACAGGGCGAACGAGAGCGAACGGGTCTGCGCGCCGCTGCCGCTCTTTGGGGCCTTGTTTTGAAAGAGTCAGGAGTTTGCAAAATTTCTAGGCCTCTACTATTTGTTTTGGAAATAACCATGGAATCTGTGAGTATTTCTGTGGGAAAAAATGACTTTAGAAACCTATATATTTTTTTGCCAATTTTTGCCAACCCCCTTCTTATGTTTCTTTTACGAGCCCTAGACTTCAAGCAGGGGAAGTTCCGCACACTGGGAGAGACAAAGGCAGGACAGTGCCCTGCCCAAAGGTATTCAATTTTAGCGCCTTTATTCAAACACAAGAGTGTCCAAAGGTACTAAAATTTCGCACGTTTGCGGCGTTTTAGTGAATGTTAGTGCCGGTACAGGGGTGCTAATGACTTTGGCGCCTATATAGAAGCAGCCCTACCTTTGTTTTCCCAGTGCAGGGTCAGGGTCGCTCGCCAGGGGCGGCCCAGCGCCGTCATCCGGTCGCGAAACTCAAACCAGAGGCGGCAGTCAACACCCCCCGCCCCCTTTCCCCCTTTTCCCCGCTGGCTCCCATCAAGTCCACAAAAACAAGCCGTACCTCTACTGTACACATGCACGGCGGTAAACTGGGCGCGTTTCCATATCAGGCCAAAAAGGAGCGGTGTACACACACGACTACTACAGCTGGGGCCTTACAGCAGCGGCTTCAAAGCACCGGGCCGGGATAATATGCTATTGGACCGCGCCACACAGGTATAGCGCATGGAGTTATTGGGGGTACGGATTACAAATATTGGTGGAACTGTTTCGGCATGGCTAGCTTACATACTAAAAGTTATGAAATGGAACAGTTGTTTCCACCCTTTATGGGAAAAATGGACAAATTATTTGTGAGAATGTTTCACCAAAGTTCTTTAAGTGGTGACGATACAGTCGAAACTGTCCCTTCATTTCTTAACAATAAAATTTTAAGCTTCGAAACGAAATCTTTTGTGGAAACAAAATCGTTCTAATACGTTGTTCATAGACGGCGCAGACAGGGCAGCCCGAGAACACCACTAAAGTACTGACCTGCAGAACATGTAGAGGACGAGCAGGTTGCCGAACACGCCCAGGGTCATGATGACGGTGTAGGCTGCGGCCAGGACGTAGTGCACGGTCGGGCTGTGCGGCGGGAAGCCCAGCCAGTGGTTGTGGACGACCTCCAGGTCGGCGGGCGTGAAGGGCCCCACCTCCATCCAGGAGCGCACCGGGTGAAACGCCATGAAGCGGCCCAGGAGGAGGCGGCGGAACTGTCGGAGCATCGCATTTGTGTGTGAGCGGGAGAGAGAGGGAGAGGGAGGGAAAGAGAGAGGGGGAGGGTAGACCCACCTGTGTGGGGTCCGTGGTGTTCTCCAGAACCCCGGGCGCGTAGTAGCCCTCCCACTGCTCCTGGGCGGCGCCGGGCAGCGCGGCGCAGGCGGGGGCGGGACCGGCGGGGAGGTTGCCGGCCAGCAGCCCCGGGTCCGCCTCCAGC